AGCCATATGGAGTTCTACAATTTATTGTTCTCTGCAGTGTTATTTATACCAAAAGAATTTGATCTGCCACACCACATATAGGATCACAGTTTCATTTTGATATGTTTAATGGATTGCAGCTATTTTAATGTATTGAAATATGCTGCTGGTTTGGAATTTTGTATACATCTTACATACGAGGAATATTGCCTTGATAATAAGTTTGGCTTTTGTAATGTGCCCTATAATCTATTTCTTTGTATCTATGGCTGTGTCTCATTTGGAATGCAGATAGTTAGATGTGGCTAATTTGATTTTTACTGTACTTGTCACGTTCTTTCATAACTTTGGCTTGTAATCATTTTAGGGGATGTTTGGGAGACATTTTTATGTAAAAATGCATTTTTGAATTGTAAATTGATGGGAAATGTCTGGTTGAAAAATAAGGAATTTTTTTTAATTTACGTGTAATATTATTTTAATAAAGAATGTGTGGTTGAAAAGGAGAGAGAGAAAAATGTATTTTGAAAAAAATGGGTACCAAACGGGGCTTTATAAAAATTATCCATGTCAAAAAAATTCTTTTAAGCAATGTGAAAGTCAAAAACAAGTGACTGTTAAAATGTTGGTTTTGCTTCGGTTATCCAAGTTTTGGCATGTCTTCTTCTATTCTGTTCATATTACTATTTTCATCTGCATTTAGCTGTTGCATGCCATCTTTCAGACTGGATTATGGTGATTCTTTGATGACTTCTTTGTTTCATGTTTACGAGATTAGTTTGAATGTTCTCAATTTCACGTAGTTCCCCTGCTTTTGCTCTTGCATGCATGTTGTAATATTATTCATTTTCAAATTTTTTACTCATTTATTCTGTCCACTGCAGAAATCTGTCCGACGTTTTATGGGAGGCAATATCCAGCAATCAGGTCCTTTCATTATATCAGGGACTTGGGACCAAGAACCTGCAGTCTTTTATTGCTCAGTTTGTCTATTTTTATGGATATAGCTACTTTAAAAGGCTCTATCTGCAAAAGACCGGTTCAAAATCTATTGGAACAAAAGCCAATCTCATTCTTGCTGCAGCGGCTGGGGCTTGCACTGCTGTTGTTACTCAAGTAAGAAAACGTGATAAATTTAACTGGATCTAATTTGGAATCATTTCCATTCTGACATCTTCCAAATAAAAATAATTTTTGTTTGAATTTGACATAAACTTTTAAGTGAAGTTATCAAGCAGGAAAAGAAATGCATGGCCCAACTCTGTCATATTGTTGTAGTTTAGATCCTTTATATCGAGAACTACACCTGGAAACGTTTCTTTATCTTGATCTTCCATTGAAGTACCTTAATTTATTTTTTGTATTATTATACAGATGCTCCCTCTTCCTCTCTATCTGTCTATCTGTCTCACACGTGTGAGCAGGCATACACAAAAGGAATAGAAAAAACCAAAAGGAATTGCATTCTGAGTGTACAGTGTACTATGATCATGTATTTTATGAACACACCTGGTTCTTGTCCTCAGTAGACGAATGTTTGCTGCTTAATAAATAGGACTTGATCACATTAGGCTTCACATCGTCCTTTTCTTGATCACATTAGATTCTCTTTCATTTCTCCATTGTTATAATCTTTGAAACTTTTTAATTTCCTGTCAAGCTTATGGATTAAAGCATTTAAAGAAGTTTAAGCTATATCCTAATCCATTTTTTCTTTATGGAACATTCTGTAATTTTTGTTATATTCATGTTGTGATACTGAACATAAATGTTGCTTGTTCTCTAATTTCGAATTGTTGTATAGCCATTAGATACAGCTTCCTCAAGGATGCAGACAATTGCTTTCGGAAAATCTAAAGGGCTTTGGGAAACACTTACTGAAGGCAGTTGGAGTGATGCATATGATGGCCTTGGAATATCTCTTCTGTTGACTTCCAATCCAGCCATTCAGGTACATAAAGTTCTGAGTAATATGAAGAAAAGGAATAATCTATTTGGTATGTTCGATATGCTCAATGAACGAAATTCTGTCTGTTTTACCTCTCAATAATTTCAAATAGTTTCTAGTACTGCATACCAAATATGTTATGATAGTGCTAGAAACTCGTAAAAATTCAAGAAATGCTATCTTTTTTTAAGACAACTTTGTTATTAAAGATGGTTGATTGCTACATACTGATACTGGAGTAATGATCTGCCCAGTATACTGTATTTGATCAACTGAAAGTAAGGCTCCTGAAGCAGAAGCAGAATAAAATGGAGACAGGATCGTCTCCAGAAGCCCTTTCTGCCTTCTCAGCTTTCGTTTTAGGTGCACTCTCGAAGAGCATAGCCACAGTTCTAACTTATCCCGCAATCAGGTTGTTCTTGCTTTGTCGATTCTTTTGTCTATTGCATTTATCATCTTTATGCGGCCCTTTAATTCCAAAATACAATCAGGTGTAAAGTTATGATTCAAGCTGCAGACACAAATGATGATGTGGATAAGAAAGCGAAAAGAAAATCCCGTAAAACAATTTCTAGTGTTCTTTGTGCTATTTGGCAAAAAGAAGGTGCACTCGGCTTCTTTAAGGGACTACAAGCGCAAATTTTGAAGACTGTATTAAGCTCAGCATTATTGTTAATGATAAAGGAAAAGATCTCTGCAACAACTTGGGTCCTCTTGCTCGCTGTGAGCAGATATTTATTGCTCAAACCTGTTGGGTTGAAGAGCGGATAATGTCATGAAAATTGTGCACGTCGTTTTTTGTAAATAACGACAAAGGTGAAAGTAGGAAGAAACTAATAGCACTAGATGATCAGCTGTAGGAATCTCTGTTTGTCGTTAATAACGCCAGATCATTTAGCTAGATCCTTGTTATAAGTTTTATTTGGAAAGGAATTGTTGATGAGGTACGATTTACATGTCGAATAAGGGTGAGAGCGAGAGAGAGGAAAAGCAATTTTCTTCTATTGGTGAACTATTTTGTGATGAAACTTCTAATGCAGAGAGAAATATTTATACATTATTTGTACAATTTAAATTGATGGAATAGATTATGAATCAGTGCGTTTCAGATGCATCGATGTTATTCAAATTTATGGGATCCAGCAGCATTATCAAATGAATGTCCATGTACAGGGCCGAGCATGTAACGGGGTGCCCGCCTGATCGACCATTTGTAAATTCCCAGCTCGTTCGGAAAATTCTTCAACCTTTCTAGTATGTAAAATGAGCAACGATATTTAGTGTCACCGGTGTTATAACATTAGTATTGATGACACCAAGCCTCCTTTGACAACCATAAAAACCAAA